GTTCTCTCATCCACTTGCTTAAGCCCGCCAGGTATGCCATGCGTTGTTTTCCCTTGTATCTCTTTCCTCTATTCGACCTTTATGTGACGTGTCTGTTCAGGACGTAGGCGATCATGGCTTTCCACTCCCATCCTATCCTTGTAGCTCTCAATAAGTTCCGTCGCTCTGCCTCCCCCAGACCACGTTCTCTCATCCACTTGCTTAAGCCCGCCAGGTATGCCATGCGTTGTTTTCCCTTGTATCTTTTCCTCTATTCGACCTTTATGTGACGTGTCTGTTCAGGACGTTCGATCATGGCTTTCCACTCCCTCCTATCCCTTGCAGCTCTCAATAAGTTCCCGCCTCTGCCACCTCCTCAGACCACGTTCTCTCATCCACTTGCTTAAGCCCGCCAGGTATGCCATGCGTTGTTTTCCCTTGTATCTCTTTCCCTCTATTCGACCTTTATGTGACGTGTCTGTTCAGGACGTAGGCGATCATGGCTTTCCACTCCCTCCTATCCCTTGTAGCTCTCAATAAGTTCCGTCGCTCTGCCACCTCCTCCAGACCACGTTCTCTCATCCACTTGCTTAAGCCCGCCAGGTATGCCATGCGTTGTTTTCCCTTGTATCTCTTTCCCTCTATTCGACCTTTATGTGTGTCTATTTTCATGGCTCGCCACTCCCTCCATCCCTCAGAAGCTCTTCCGTCGCTTGCCACCTCCCCCAGACCACGTTCTCTTCATCCACTTGCTTAAGCCCGCCAGGTATGGCATGTTTTGTTTTCCCTTGTCTCCTTTCCTCTATTCAACCTTTATGTGACGTGTCTGTTCAGGACGTCTCCCTTGATCATGGCTTCCACTCCCTCCTATCCCTTTTCTCTCAATAATGTTCCGTTTCTGCCACCTCCTCCAGACCACGACGTTTCTCTCATCCACTTGCTTAAGCCCGCCAGGTATGCCATGCGTTGTTTTCCTTGTATCTCTTTTTCTATTCGACCTTTATGTGACGTGTCTGTTCAGGACGTAGGCGATCATGGCTTTCCACCCCCCCATCCCTTTGTAGCTCTCAATAAGTTCCGTCGCTTTGCCACCTCCCCAGACCACGTTCTCTCATCCACTTGCTTAAGCCCGCCAGGTATGCCATGCGTTGTTTTCCTTGTATCTCTCTTCCTATATTCAACCTTTATGTGACGTGTCTGTTCAGGACGTAGGCGATCATGGCTTTCCACTCCCTCCTATCCCTTTGTAGCTCTCAATAAGTTCCGTCGCTCTGCCACCTCCTCCAGACCACGTTCTCTCATCCACTTGCTTAAGCCCGCCAGGTATGCCATGCGTTGTTTTCCCTTGTATCTTTTCCCTCCATTCGTGACCTTTTTATGTGACGTGTCTGTTCAGGACGTAGGCGATCATGGCTATTCCTTTGTAGCTTTATTCCGTCGCTCTGCCACCTCCTCCAGACCACGTCTCTCTCATCCACTTGCTTCAGGTATGCCATGCGTTGTTTTCCTTGTCTCTTTTCCTCTATTCGACCTTTTATGTGACTGTCTGTTTCAGGGACGTAAGCGATCATGGCTTTCCTATCCTCCTATCCCTTGTAGCTCTCAATAAATTCCGTCGCTCTGCCACCTCCCCCAGACCACGTTCTCTCATCCACTTGCTTAAGCCCGCCAGGTATGCCATGCGTTGTTTTCCCTTGTATCTCTTTCCCTTTGTGACTATTCGGACCTTTATGGTTGACGTGTCTGTTCAGGACGTAGGCGATCATGGCTTTCCACCAGGTCCCTCCCATCCCTTGCAGCTCTCAATAAGTTCCGTCGCTCTGCCACCTCCTCCAGACCACGTTCTCTCATCCACTTGCTTAAGCCCGCCAGGTATGCCATGCGTTGTTTTCCCTGTATCTCTTTCCCCTATTCGACCTTTTTATGTGTCGTGTCTGTTCAGGACGTAGGCGATCATGGCTTTCCACCCTCCCATCCCTTGTGGCTCTCAATAAGTTCCGTCGCTCTGCCACCTCCCCAGACCACGTTCTCTCATCCACTTGCTTAAGCCCGCCAGGTATGCCATGCGTTGTTTTCCTTGTATCTCTTTCCTCTATTCAACCTTTATGTGACGTGTCTATTCAGGATGTAGGTGATCATGGCTCGCCACTCCTCCTATCCCTGTAGCTCTCAATAAGTTCCGTCAACTTTTGCCACCTCCCCCCAGACCACGTTCTTTTCATCCACTTGCTTAAGCCCGCCAGGTATGCCATGCGTTGTTTTCCCTTGTCTCTCTTTCCCTCTATTCAACCTTTATGTGACGTGTCTGTTCAGGACGTAGGCGATCATGGCTTTCCACTCCCTCCTATCCCTTGCAGCTCTCAATAAGTTCCGTCGCTCTGCCACCTCCTCCAGACCACGTTCTCTCATCCACTTGCTTAAGCCCGCCAGGTATGCCATGCGTTGTTTTCCCTTGTATCTCTTTCCCTCTATTCAACCTTTATGTGACGTGTCTATTCAGGATGTAGGCGATCATGGCTCGCCACTCCCTCCTATCCCTTGTAGCTCTCAATAAGTTCCGTCGCTTTGCCACCTCCCCCAGACCACGTTCTCTCATCCACTTTCTTAAGCCCGCCAGGTATGCCATGCGTAGTTTTCCCTTGTATCTTTTTCCCCTCTATTCGACCTGTGAATATCAGATTCTCCTGGCCCTCCCCTCTCATTAGGTGTCCCAGAAATTTCATCTGCCTCTTCCTTATGTTATGTATAAATTGGTGAGGTACAGGTGAATTCATAGTTTTCCCAAGTGAAATTGGAACTCGGCTCTCCGATTAACAATTCCGAATCACTATCCATTACACCACCGGCACATCCAAACTTACAGCGTCTGGTATTCCCAAGCGGTCACCCATCTAGGTACTAACCAGCCTCGACGTTGCTTACCGTCGGTGATTATACTGGAACAGGTGTTTCAACGTGATGTGACAAAAAACAATTTCAGCGCATTACTAGATTGGCAGTAATCTCTAGTCATTTTACAATCGAAATGGCTAGATATAATCCAATGACACAAGGACACATGGCACAGTGGATAAAGGCGTTGGTTAGATCCAGTGACAGGACCCAAAGAGTTGTGAGTTCAATACCTGGTTAGGACTGTGGAGAACTTGGAGAGGGGAATTAACAGGAGATAACTGACATCCATTAGACATTGGAAAATTCGTAAACTTAAGGAATCAGTAACATATGCTAGGCCACAAAAATCTCCTGAGCCGACCAAGCATAGAAATAAATACAATATGGGAACCCGTAATAAAGAGTGCAAGAGAAAAGCAATAATAACAACGAAAATTGCAATATGAGCTCTGGTAAAAAATGATGGCTGAAGACATTAGGTTTATAATACCTAGAAATTCATACACAGATGTCCTCAAGGACACATGGCACAGTGGATAAAGGCGTTAGTTAGATCCAGTGACAGGACCCAAAGAGTATGAGTTCAATACCTGGTTAAGGCGGTGGAGAGGGGAATTAACAGGAGATAACTGACTTCCATTAGACATGACACGTGGAGCTAGAACAGTCTACCCCAGTGAGAAAAATAAAGGGTTCAGTTCGACATTCCAACCACCTGAAGAAGGCGGGAGCGTTCAACGGCCGAAACGTTGTGATAAATATCACAACAAAGATGAGGATAATGTCAGTAGTCTAATCCAAAGAATCTGCAATGTTATTGGTCTTGACCTGATACTTCGACTTCAGTCCCTTTCCCACCTCGTTAGACGTTACGGAGGTGGGAAAGGGACTTTTTAAAAATTTAAGCGCAGTACTAGACTGGCTGCAAAGTCCCATTATTTTACAGTTGAAATGGCTAGATGTAACTGAAAGTTCTATGCTTTCAATTTCTTCTCTCACACTTCTTGCTTGTGGAACCCACTCACGGCTTCTTGCTGCCCAGTCAACCTTGATCTTCAAAAATTTAAATGCAGTTTCGATCGTTCTTTTATTGTTCTCTCTCCTTAAATATGTTTTGCTTTTCTCACATCACTTGCATTATTTACATTATTCGGACTGTTATCCCCATTGCCATAAATACAAGGTTTTGGTCGTTATACGCCCCGGCCTTCTTCAGGTGATTGAAATTTCGAAACGAACCCTTTATTCCGTCCACCGGGGTAGATTATTCTAGTTCCGCGTGCCATGCCTCTTCCGAATGTCTCGGTTATTTCCCTTTAACTCAACTCATCAAGCTGTGGACTGGTATTGAACTCAAAACTTAGAACTATTATATGGAACAAAGGATAATACCGCCGGTTTCCCGCGCAAAATTGCGAAAACTTGTAAATGTATACCCTTTAAAAATTTTGCTAAGTGTGCTGTGATATATTCATTTGCTTCTCGGTGTGCCGTTGTTTAAAATAAAAATTACGTTAATTGTACTGAAATTATTATTTTTTCATTGTAATATTTTATTGCACAATCGCGCATCCATAATTTGAAAGCACAGGAATTAAATGACAGATAATTTTGTAAATGTTGAAATAGTGAAATTTAAAAATATTGCTATGTATATCTTATATCCTTCTATTCATGAAAATTTTGATTATTGCATTATCTAAGTAAATCAAAATGTTATCCTCATCTTATTTTCAAGATATTCACAACGTCCCCACTGTTGTACGCTTAAAACCATAGGAATTTCAAACCGAACCCAAACGACGTCCACTGAAAAAAATTTGTTCATGTTCCACGTTTGAATGTCTTCTAGAAGTTCAGTTATTAATTTAATTCAACTCTCAAAAGGCATGGTATGTGGAACTAGAACAATCTACTTTGTTTTTATAAATAAATATTCGGTTCGAAATTCCAATCCAGAATTGAAGAAAAAAACAGAAATACGCCGAAACGTTGCGAATATGGCAATGAAAAAAAAATGAGGATAACAGTCCGAAGAATGTAAATAATCAAGTAATCATAATTTCTATCTCAAGATTCAATTTATCTATATAAAATTTTATACATAAACCGGAGCGTAGAACGTATAAATATAAACGTGAATATGGCAATGAAGATGAGGATAACAGTCCGAATAATGTCAATAATGCAAGTAATCATACCTCATCTCAGAGATATAGACAGATATATAGAGAGACAAAACGAAAGGCCGGTGAAGAGCCATTTCGAAGCAAGTTATGAATTGGCAATGAAGATGAAGAAAACAGTTCGAATAATGTAAATAAAATAAATAATTTTTTTAAATGTACCATGATGTTTTCATTTGCTTTTTCACATGTGCCGTTGCTTACGAATAAGGTTGATTTTGATAGTTTTTAGTCTTGCATTTTCAATTCCTTTATTCTAATGTCTGGAAATCAACGCCATGTCAAACGAATCCTAACACCGAAATCAATACTTCAGCTACAACCTTTCTTTTAAAACCTACATCTAGTTGAAAATGCCTGATGTTGTCCAGTTTTTATTACGGGATCTCGAAATGGTTGACATTATTTGTTAGCGCCAACTCGTGTATGCAAATCGTGCACTATAGCAGAAGACTGCAACTTTGGAGAAGAGGAATAACAATGCTACACCTCAGGAAAAATGCGTGGATTCATGTCTTAGTATAAATAAAACATTCGACGCTGCCCATTGACACATCTTTGATTTCAATAGAAGAGGAATATTCCACATTAGCTAAAAAGGCTTTATCAGTTTTATTACAATTTTCAACTTAAAATATGTGAAATTTAGTTTTCAACCCTAAATAACATTTTTTAAGAAGTGAGAATGATTACACACAACTGAAGGAGAAATGAAGGTCTGCTTATCACACATTTAACAAACATTGAAGAAATTGCAAAGACCACCAAGCACTAAATAATTGCGCAAATTTTGAATAGAAACATTGAAATAAAGTAAGTTCATATTTTGTGTGTGGATTTTTTAAAAAATCTATTGTTTTATTTCATAATATTTAAAATGTATAACACTTTAAAATTTTTATTATGTGTTTTAATATTTTCATTTGCTTCTAGGTGTGCCATTGCTTAAAAAAGTTGAGAAACATTGCCATAGAGCATGTGTCTATTTTCAATCACTATGACATGAAAGAGCAGAAGAGACTTATTTGATTGATGAATATTTTAATCAAAATATAATTTCAAAAGTTCAATTTAACAAAAAATTTTCAATTGGGCAAATTATAGCCCACCTAATGTTTATATCCAAGAGCAGCACAAACACTTTTATGTGAACAGTTGGTGTTTTTTAGCTAAATGTTGCCCAAAATAGTAATCTATTCAAGACAGAAACAAAGACGGAAACCATATAGACATATATCAAAATATAATTTCAACAGTTCAATTTAACAAAAATAGAATTGGGCAAATTACGGCCCACCTATTGATTATATGCAAGAGCAGCATAATTCTTTTCATTATGTTCCTTCTAATATTGGACTTTAGTCATATGAAGGAGAATAGTTGGTCATCCTTTCTAGTAATCAACGGCTCAAAATGAAACATTCAACGGAACCCATTGATACTTTTTAAATTTCACTACAAAAGGAATATTCCACATTAGCTAAAAAGCTTTACCACTTTTATTGCAATTTTTAATTTATTTATGCGAATTTGGTTTTTCAACTCTAAATAACACCAAAAATAAGAAGTGAGAAAGATTACACACAACTGTAGGCAAAATGAAGATCTGTTTATCGGACATTCAACCAAACATTGAAGAAATTGCGAGAAAAGAAACACGTCACAGGTTTTACACTAAATAACCTGCACAAGTCGTTGAATAGAAACTTTGAAATAAAGTTCCTATTCGTGTGTGTATTTGCTTTTTAAGTGTATAGTTTTATAATACTTAAATATATAGCCTTTAAAAATTTTGTGTCGTGATATTTTCATTTGCTCATCGGTGTGCCGTTGCTTGCAAAGGTTGAGAAACCTTAATCCAGTTCATCTTTTACAAACATTTTCATAGCCGAAATAACCAATGTATCATTGGGATATTTTTTTTATTCAATGTAGAGTAAAAAGAACAAAAACTGATTGTAAGTGCAAAGCGTTCTCAAAGCAAATTTGTCGCAGATTACTTTCACAACAACACAAAGAAAAATCACTAAGTCCAGACTCGAGTATCGGGGGCAGAAAGAAATGCTGAAAACTCGATTCGCCGGTACTATCTCAAGATCACAACGCGTGTAACCAGCCAGGAAAATAACTCACACTCCCAACAAACGCCGCCGCAGCCAAAAATGCCCGAATTTTCCCTCCTCCGAATCGAGAAGACAAACTGCTTTTATCGGCAGAACCTATTTTTTTCATTCGTCGACAGCTGGGATAGGATGCTTCGTAATTTGCATATCAATATCCTCTTATAGCGACTCCTGCGACGGGCTTGTTTCTTTTTTGGGTCACAGAATACACGCGACGCGCTGTCGCTTTTCTTGACGAGGTAAGTCGCCGTTTTTCTTCGCTATAAGATTTTTGCTGACTACTTTTTGGTAATCCTTCTTCGGCAGATCGTACACAAAACACGAACTTTTTTCCGAGGTACCTGATTATCTCTTTCACTACACTGATTTAGCAAGAAATCCTTATTTTTGGTTTCGTCAATAACACGTTCTCTTTCACTTAGGCTCCCTAAATGTTTTCCCCTTTCAATTACTCGAACTCTTCTTCAATTTTACATTTCAGTGCAAAAGCTGCAAGGACTTTCTTTACTTCTTTAAAATACTGTTTGTAAGAAACACTTTACAATATCCTTTCCCAGGATTATATTTAAAATGAGAAAAAGGCATGCCTCATGACTAATATATTATAAATAAAGTTTTATAATTTCTTTTAATTATTATTTGAATAAAATTTTAATTTATAGCAAATCCATTTCACAATTCGAAATAATTATTTTCATAGAAATGAATTTTTTTTCTCGAAGATTTTGTTGTGGGTTTATGCTGAGCGAGTTT